AAATCTGTTAGTCTTTAAGGTGCCACCAGACTCCTTGTTGTTGTTGTTTATGCTGCAAAAGTTTGGGAAACTGTGACTTAAACCAGCTTCCTGGGCCTATGATCTGTATTCCAGTTCACAAATCTGCCCCATCACAGGGGGAATTCCAGGAACCAGGCAAAAGACTGGGGGCACGTTGGGGGCTGGAGGAAGCATGGTAGTGGCAGACCTGCATCCAGCCAGTTCTGCAATGAGCCACTGGAGCGGCCCTCAGTGGCTACAAACCCTCAGTTTAACGTAGTTTTTGCATATAATTCACTGGGGAGGGGTTAGAAAGGAGCAAGATAAAAAATTCTATTATGTGCAAATGTAACAACTTCTTCCTGCCCCTTTAAACTTCAGCATGGCAACACAGAGCTTTACTACTCGAGCTAAGCACAAACTAGTTTGGCCGGTAGCCGGACAAAGCTCTTACCCTGTGTGAACCAGACATTAGAGGAGGATCCAGCATAACACACCGAAGCAATGGATTACCTATTCACGCATCACCTCATTTTACAGACAACACAATCAAGGGCAAAAATGTGGCAGGTGTTCTTTCTTTCTGAGGCAGTGCTGCTGAGTGAATGGGATTTGGAACTGCCATATTAAGAGAACTAGGTTTTATTTCAAGTTTCTGCTGTCTCTCAGTCAGGTATGAGGCCACGATGAATAATAAGGGTGGTGAAGGGTATACAATTATTAGTATCAGTCTGTGGAAGAAGTGAGTCTAGAGCTCATGGTATCTGGTTCCCCATGCAACACACACTCTCTGGATCAGAATATTTTTGATGGGGGAAAAGCAGCAGGTGGAAGAGCATTTTGCTTGTGTCCCATCCAGAACTTGAGCTATGTATCAAATGCAGATTCTGGGGTAGTGCATATGCAACGATAGAGTCATAGTGCAAAAACAAGCTCTATCCACAAATGGGAAATAGTAATTTTCAGTTAAAGAAATGCATTTCTATTGGAACAACAAGATACCTCCTCGACCCCAGTACTATCCCCAGGACAAATTTCAAAGTCCAGTGCAGGGAGCATGAGAGCCTTCAAATAAAGGCTGTAAGAATTTGTTTCATAATGCGAAGCATTAGGCAACCTAATTACAAGGGTTGCTGCCAGTACTCCTTTTATAAGGCAAATAAAGCATCAATCCCTGCAGCCAAGATAAAGCATGTCTACACTTCAGCTGGAAGGTGCTACTCCCAGCTCAGGCAGAGGTACACGCACTAGCTATGCTTGAGCTAGCATGCTAAAAGTAAAAGCATGCCTGCAGTGGCACTTGCAGGGATCAGGCCAGCCATCCACCATCCGTACATGACTAGGACCTCGGCCAGGATTGTATTCAGGAAGTCAGCCTGAAACATCGCAGCCCCACTGCTATTTTTAGCGTGCTAGCTTGAGCACAGCTAGCGTGTGTATGTCTACCTGAGCTGAGAATTACACCTCCCAGCTCCTGGGCAGACATACACACAGCTCTGAAGTCAGGCCCTGAGGAGCATGGCCAAGCTTGCCCTCATCCCTGGCCCAGCCCAGCCCAGCCATCTGAGGGGCTCCAACCAGGGAGAAAGGAATTTCCAGCCCAGGGTCCATCCCTGCAAGTGACTGGAGCCAGCTGCTGTGCTCAAGCTAGCACGCTAAAAATAGCAGTGGGGCTGCGATGTTTCAGGCTGACTGCCTGAATACGATCCTGGCCGAGGTCCTAGTCATGTACGGATGGTGGATGGCTGGCCTGACCCCTGCATGTGCCACTGCAGGCATGCTTTTACTTTTAGCATGCTAGCTTAAGCCCTTTGCAGACTCCCGCTCCCCCTTTGCAGCCCCAACCCCAGCCCCCTTTGCAGATCCCCTTTCCTCAACCCCTCCCCCCTTTGCAGATCCCTGACCCTCTTGCCTGCCTCCCTTTACAGCCCCCCTTTCCCTGTCTGCCCCTTTACAGACCCCATGACCTTTGAACCCCAGTCATCCCCCCACACGCCCGTCCCATTAGCCCCGCCCCCCGCGAGCCCGCCACTCCTCGCAGCCCCAGCCCCAGGCGCTTCCCTCACCTCGCTTTCTCCCCCACCTCGGCTCCTTCCACCGCCAGGCGCCTGCGCTGCACGCCGGGAGTTGTGGTTCCACGAGCCTCTCTCTCCCAGAAGGCATCGCGGATCCCAGTCGGCGCGGCTGCCGCCTCCCCTCCCCGACTACAGTTCCCAGACACCTCCCGCGCGGCAACATCTACGGCGTCCTAGGAGGGACAATCCGGGATGAACGAAAAGGCGACGCTTCCGTCCGGGGAAGCTCTTAAAGGGACCTGCGCCCTAGCCAGGGGCCCATCTCCCGGCCATCCCCAGCCATCGAGTACAGGGGGCCAGCCCAGTGTCCTGGCCCCACTGACACGCGCAGGGGGCTGCCAGGGCCCTTTGGGGTTTGGGGGCCTTTCGCCAGTTACAATCCATTTCACTCTGATGCCCCATTAACACTTGGGAGAAAGGGCTTCTTAGTGCAAGGAGCTGCACCGCCTTGCTTTCAACGACAATGATTTCACAAAGAAGGGCCTGTTTTCCTAGCACCCTGCCCCAGCCCTCCTCCCCATGCTGTTATTACTCTGTTATCATCGTTAATAACAACAGGCAGGACTCGCCTGCATTCCTCAGGGGTATTTCTTGCAGCACTCAGCAACTCCGATCTTGTTGTACAGAGATGAAAAAATACAGGAGGTCCCTTGTAATACGGGACCGTTGGCGACCCTACTTTGAACCAAGGAGAACTGAGCAGACGTTCTTGATGTGGATTCCCTTTAGCTCACGTCTCTTTGGAAGCGGTTTAAACTACACTGAAAAAAGGCACTCTTAACACCCAAAATCCACGTACACACGGGGAGTTTTACTGGCCTAGCTACACTGGTATAATTATACTGATAGACCAGGGGTCGGCAACCTTTGGGAAGTGGTGTGCCAAGTCTTCACTAATTTAAGGTTTCGCATGCCAGTAAAAGGTTTTGCGTTCCAGACCAGGTTCCGTAATCCAGGCCGGCAGCGGGCGGAACGGGGCCGGCGGCTGGGATCCCGGCTGGTAAGGGGCTGGTGGCCAGAACCCCAGATCGGCAATGGGCTGAGCGGCTCATCCCGCTGCTGGTCTGGGGTTCCGTAATCCAGGCCGGCAGTGGGCTGAGCGGGGTCAGCGGCCAGGACCCCGGCTGGCAGCAGCGTGCCACTAAAAATCAGCCCGCGTGCCGCCTTTGGCACGCATGCCGCAGGTTGCCGACCCCTGTGATAGACCATCCACATGGAGAATTACACTGGTGTAGCTAGAGTGATATTATGCTGGTATCACTGTGCTGGTCAGTTTCCCCATGTAAATAAGCCCTAAAAATTAACCCCAAGAGAGGGAGACTCAATAGGTGCTGAAATCTCTTCGGGTTTCAGGCACAGATTCAATTCTTGACTGTGCCTTTAAGGGGAAGTTTCTGAACTAGAGCGGAGGACAGCCCACTGGAAGGAGGGGCAGGTGCCCTTTTCAAAGGGCTGCCCAGCTTTCAGGGGCAGTCCTGGGAGAGAAATCACAGCAGTTATGTGGCTGTACTGGATCCTGCTCGCCCTCCTGCTTCTCGCAGTGCTCAGGAAGCTCCTCGGGGGCAGCAGCTCCCCCAACCCTTTCTCTGCTGACTGCAGGAGGCCACCTGCCCCCCTGGTGACAGACAAGGATGTTCGGAAAAAGGTTATCAAACAAGGTACCTGAAAGTGCTTGTGCTGGCAGCACCTGCTCCAGTCACAGCTGGAAGGGGGGCAGGGGTGCTGGGGAGTGTAGAGAGGGAAAGCAGCCCCTTACCCGGGCAGGCTGTCTGGGCAGAGGCAAGCCAAGAAAGATTGGAAATGGGATCTGTATCTTTCTGCACAGCCGTGCACTCATTAGCTGCTTTCCAGATCTCCTTCTCCACCTCCCTCACCTTTGTACACACACACACAAACACTCCCTCCCTATACCCACTAGTGCCTGCCTACTTGCACCCCTCCACATCCATCAATATCTGAATGCCAGTGCCTGCATATACCCCATACCCACCAACACCCACTCACCTGCCAGTGCCCATATATATTCACTCACACTCTCTCTCTCTCTCTCCATAGCCAGGAGTACTTGTATGCACCCTTCAGCCTTCCCTCTGCCTGTGGTGAAAGCACCCCTACCCCTTTCTGCTGACCTAATTCAACCCTTGATTGGGTAATTTGCCTGAAAGCAAGGCTGCTGTTCCTCAAGTTAAGTGCATTCCCTCCCCTTTCTTTATAGTAGTCAAAGAGCTGTGACTCAGAGTTAAACCTCTATGATCCCATGCAGTGGTTTGTATAACCTACCCTCACTACCCCCAGGTAATGCCCACACACTCTTAGGTAATGCTAAATCACTGGGCTGATGTGCAGCTTAATCATTCACATACATTTCACTCATGTTCCAAAGTCTGGAAATAAGTGTTCTGTTTGTGGAGGGTAGGCTGTAACTCTGCTCCTTGGTTCTCCTTGCGCACCTGCCCACTTCCACCTTTGCCTCTGGGGCAGATTCTTTTCTTAAAGCACTGAGGGGCATGTTCCATCTCTGAGGGGAATGCAGAGCTAGGAACAGAATCTTGCATGAACATTAACAGTGTCTATTTTCACCTCTGGAAATTGCACTTCTCTGCCCACCTCATGGGCAAGGAAGAGACCCTGCCCCAAGCTTGTCTGTTATCTTTCATCAGATCTACCAAGCATCATGTGTGGCATTTGGCACTTAGTCATGTGTGCCCACATCCAAAAAAAATGTCAAGGCTGATGTCACCCTGGCTTTTTCCGGGGGCAATTTGTAATGACCTTACCAGCGGGTGACGAAACTTCTTTAGTAGCTCTGCTCTCTGGAAGGTAATCTGCTGCCAGGATACAGTGCCCCATCTTTTATAATGGGTTTGATCTTGCCAGCTTAGCCAGGACCATCACAAAACTATCTTACAGTCTTGCACTTTACACAGTGAATATGTTAACCAGCTCTTTGCTCTTCTGCCAAGAGTCTCACACCCCTGTTACAAGAACGCCCCTCCTCAAAACTGGAGAGTGCAGGACCTGCACAGCTGGGACTGGGCCTCCATCCTGAGAAGCAGCTTCCTTATGACCTGCCATGCACTTCCCAGTCCCAGCAGGTTTGGAAAGAACAGCAGTTCCTGTACTATTTGTACAGCAGCCAGGGAATGCTAATGGGCCCGCATCTAACACGCAAGTCCTTTAAACCATAAACTATGGCCCAATTTAAGTTTGGTCCTAGGAATGACCCGGGGAAGACAGCAGGAGAGTTACTGACCCAGTTGTTGGAGGTGGCCACGTGTCGATGACAACTTTCTCCTTCTTCTTCAGCTTTCTCTGCTGCCAAGGTCCCCGAGAATCTGGATGCTGTTGTGATTGGAAGTGGCATCGGGGGGCTGGCTGCAGCCGTGCTCCTCTCCAAAGCTGGGAAGCGAGTGCTGGTGCTGGAGCAGCATGGGAAGGCGGGTGGCTGCTGCCACACCTTCAGCGAGAAGGGCTTTGAGTTTGATGTAGGTAAGTCTGCTCAGAAACCGTCCGGGAGGGAAATCAGATGGCACCAGTTGAGAAATGGGCCCTGGCGGAGGGGGCAGGCAGTGCCTTTCCTTGGTAGTAACCGTGAATAAACAGGCCCAGGTCTTGAGAGAACTCTTCCTGAGCATTCCCAGAAGGAAGTGTGTGACAGAGCAGTCGGTCACACAGAGGGCTGGTTTGTGAAAGGGCCATATTTGATCTGTATTAAAATCCTCTCAAGCCCGAGGAGAAAGCAAGGAGCATGCCTATCTGCATGAGCACAGAGACCCACTTGGTCCAGATACGGTGCCAATAAATTCTGCAAGCTAAGAGCAGAGCACTTCTGCGGCTGGGACTTCTAAGCGCCTATGAGCCCTGCGGTTGGAGGTCCTGCCTTGCAGAGTTTCTAAGCACTGGACTCTAAACTTCAACTTCTGTTAAAGTCACCGTATGCTCCTTGGCTCATCCATCCAGAAGTGAGCTCCGTGCATACAATTCCCTGGCTCCCTCCTGCTCACTCTAAACACACTGTGTCAACTTGCCCTGCTAATAAGTAGGTCTGCAATTTTTAACCATCCCCTCACTGGCCCCAGACTAGCGTTGGCTTGTGTGTGAGTGTGTGGGATAAGGTAATCCTGCATTCTCTTTTTGCTACATAACAGATATTGAACAGCTCAGGCCAGTCGAAGGTGCTACAGAAACACTATAGGTGTTTTTATTGTTACTTCTCAAGCAAACTAATATTACAAATGGTGATGGGAGGAGGCAGAAACAGCATGGCGGCAGTTTGGAAGGTTTTTTTAATAGACGAAAACAGAGATTCCTGGACTATTCACAAATAGGTTGTAGGATTTCCCCTGCAGTGTGCCCAGAGCTATTTGAAATGTTCACTGTTGGGACTGACATTTTGTTGGTCAAAGGTGGCTTATATAAAGTTGGAGAAGTCTGGTGATGGGCGGGGTAGCAGCTCAGCCGGCTCTGAGCCAGAGGAGTGGCCGACAACCGGCTTCCCAGTTATAAAACCGTTCTTGACTCTTCCGAGGCTCCCCGCAGGCACATTGGCCGGGGGCCAAAAGGTGAAGTCGGCATGAAGCTGCACCACGCACCAGCGCATAGCTGGACTCAGGAGGCAAAGGGGTTTATGTTGCCTGGATCACCCTCTGAGCACAGGGAGAGGATTGTTTGCTGAGCTTGTAAAATGTTCCCTAAGGACTAGATTGAGCTGGGTTGACAGGTGGCCTGTCGCTGTCCCGCCTCAAGGAGGAGCTCTGGGAAGGGATTGGGCTTTGGGGCACAATTCGCCCTCCCTACTCCACTCTTGCTTGTGGTGCGGGGGGGGGGCGCACAGGGTGGGAATACATTACTTCAGTCCAGATCCTCAAGGACTTCCAACCCAGATCCTCTGGAGTTAGGCACCTAAATACTTTTGTGGACCTCTTTCCAGAATGCCGCTTACTCTCTCCCATCCCATCCCTCACCCCATTAGTCCAAGGGGAACCAGACTTCTGCCCTGTGGTGGGGCTAGGGGCTTCTGCTGAGCAGGGAGGAGGGGTCT